TTTATTATGGAAATTAGCAAAAGATTGGAATATTGAAAAAGTGTTTGTGCCTTGTTTAGCTTGGATGAAAGAAAGCCCAGTGAGGAGGGAAATATCAATATTATAATTACCGAAATGCATCTGGGTAAAATAAAGTTGTTGATTGACTAGTATTTTTAGTCCATGTATATGATAATTTCTAGAAAATAACAGTGTCCAAATCAATTACGTATTGATTTAAAAAGAAAAAAAAAGAAGACTAGAAGCAGAAGGATAAATCATAATTCTTATTGTTTGAGGATCTTCAATTTACTGGCAATAATTTAAGTGCCAATTTTAGTGGTTAACAAATGGTAACATTAAATTGAAGGTTGACTGTTTCTTGTTTTCTGACAGTACAAAATGATTAAATGTAAACTAGTTAAGTGACAAAAAGCATTGTTTTATCTGTAAATGTCACTTATGTGTGCACAATTTTGAATCTTTCTTAAATGATAAATTACTCAGTTTTTACTAATTCTTTCTTGATGGCCCACTTTTAACTTAATGAAAGACTGATTTGATCTGGTATACAGCTTAAAATTTAATAGATAGAAAACATGGTTTCTTAACCATTTATCAACTCCCCTCTTTTTTTCACAGTTTATAAAAAAAATTAATTAATTAAATCTGCTGAGCCAATATTAATCCACATGTTTTTGTACAAAAGATGTATAGTACATAAGTGTCAAATTTACATTAATCTAAACTGTCATATATACATAATACATTGAACTAATAATTTTTAATGAAATGTTTTTAGTCCACCCTAGACTAATTTTCAAATTCCGAAAATGCCTTGTCAACTTCTGGGATTTGAGGACTGCTACTGTAAAATGAATACATATCTGCACAATTCATGCTGACTGGTAGGTCCAAACTTAAGAAAATGAAAACCTTATACATCAGAGTTTGTTAAAAGTCAAACTTTATTAAGCTAGAAATGCTAGTATTAAAACTTTGTGGCTACAGAATAAAAATAGATTATTACAAAAATTTAAATTATAATTTAAACTCAGTAATTACAACAGAATTCAGTAAAACTACAAATCATCAGTAAAACTACAAATTACAATTATTCAAAGTCATGCTGGGTATTTCCATCTTAACACTATACAATTTCAAAACAATATAATTAGGCAAAATAACCTAACAAAAGAAAAACTTTTAATCAGCATCAATGAGTTACAGTTCAATAGTTACATACTGACCAACAGAATTGAAGTTTGCTGTGTCAGTTTGAAATGTTTTATATATATATATATATATATATATATATTCATGCTGATTTGCATACTATATACAAAAATTTATTTTTGCTTGACTTATGTGTCTCCCAACATCCATTTATAGGAATATTTCTTTAAGTACTTTTCTATTTGTACAGATGTCTATCATATTTAGTGAGATGCAACTCTATGTATTATAAAAAATACAGTAGAGCATCAATTATCCAACCCCCGATTAACCGTCACATCGGTTAATCGACTGTTCTAGTCGGCAAATTTCAAATGTCCGCTAGTGATGTGGCGCTACAATATTTGGCTATGTGTTGGATACTTTAATATTATTTTTGTTAAATTTTTGCATGTTTTAGCTGGCAACTACGGCTTGATCATTGAAGGGAGACTAGTATTTAAACGAGACTTAATTTTCTAATTATGAGTGATTGTTTCATGAGCAATAAAACAATTTTAAAATAATTTTTAACGATACAATATCAACGATTATTATTTTAAAAAAAATTTGTTAGGCTAAACATCAATGAAAATTCAATGCAAAGTTGGTTAATAGCGATATACTAATAAACTAATTATATGGGATATACTAATATACTATACGAATAATGTATTTTTTTCATTATTTTCGGTTATCCGATTTTTTTAGTTATCCGACCAACCTGAGTTCCCAATTGAGTCAAATAATCGATGCTCTACTGTAAATTTTTGAAATTATGCAAATGAAGCATTGAGAGAGCAGTTGGGATCTAACTCAACCCCAAAACTTTATGGATGTTAAATAATAAATGGTTTTTAGTAGGTCCGCTGCTCGTTTAAACTCAACGGTTTGTACAATATCCGCTATTGGTCTAGATTCGACCAATCCTGTTGCGACACGAGTCGGTGATGACGTTTTACCGAATTATAAGAGTTTTTTTAGCATGTTTGTTCAAATGCTGTCGCAATTTTTCTGCCGTCATATAGGAATTCGAACTATATGAACCCGTGTTATAGGGGGGTTGACTGTATTAAGCCACCAAATGTGGTTGAAGGTAGGCCTCTTAGTAATTTAATATATTGTTTGCTTTTTAGTGAAAAAGAGTTGCTGTGTGCCAAATTTTTTATTTAATGTTAAGTATATTTGCATGATACAATTATTTTCGGTAAATAAAATGAAAAGTTTGATAATTTCTATTTTTTCTTCGTATGAATATGTGGGATTGAATTTCTTTTTGCACTTTTGGCAAAAACAACTGTTAAATTAGTTCCCGATTTGTCTAGAAGTTATATTTAGAATTCATTATCATCCTGGATATTTCTAGATTGAAGGGAAGAGAGTTAATTGTTGTTTTGGGTAAAGTGTCATTCACCTGATAATGTGTAGGTTTGTTTTTGTTTACAATCTGCTTTGAATTTAGATGATTTTACAACTTTATGCTTTGTTTTTCTTTATAGTTCTTTCTTGTTTGAAGAGCTTAATTCATAAATTAAAAGATAATGACTGTTATCTTTTAATAAAGCAAAGAGGAAAGGAGACAAATCATTTGCGATGACTTAATGACTTTTAAATTTATCATTCTTCTTAATGTAATCCTTGATAAGAGAATATTGTGTACAGTGGCGGCCTTAGGGGGGTGGCGAGCAGGGCAATTGCCCGGGGCCTCGCGCAACAACCAAGTAGAAAAAAGTTGATATTTAAAACTTTTTATTTTATCCTTGGCTATTAGTTATAACAATAAAATAAATGTAATTTATAGTACAGTATATATTAATATTAATAAGTGCCTACTATTTCAATTCACATACTTTGCACAAAGGACAAGGGCCTCGCAAAGATCTGCCGCCCAGGGCCTCACAAAGATCTGCCGTCCAGAGCCTCGCAATGGATAAGGCCGCCGCTGATTGTGTATAACTGCATTTGTTTTGTTATGCACATCTTTAACATATTGGGAAAGGAGAGTATGAGTTTCCAGTTTGTCAAAATCAATAATAGATTGCCAGATGAGTGAGACAGTAAAGGTATTGGCCTGTTGCTCCAGAGTCCCAAGTAAAAGTCCAGGTCGGAGACCTTGGAAATTTTACATGGGTAGTCTTTCCAGCATGTGCCAGGTCCCATTGTGTTCCATTATATGTAGCAGTTTGATTTGAGAAACCTTTTGAAATTATCAATTTTTGATAAATTTAATTTTTCAGCTTCCTCAGAATAATTTTATCATACATAGACATTACAGAATGTAAACAAGATAAGCATTTGCACCTAAAATTGGCTTTACATCCACAATGTATCCAATAACAACAATGCTATTAACATTTCTGCTGCCAAGTCAACACAATTAGGACAAGAAACTTGTAAACGTAAAAAAAGTTAGGCAGAGTGCTAAATAAACTTTAATGTTTGTTTAACTGTGTGAGTCAGTCAAGATAAGTTATTGCTTAGAACAAATAACAATTAATTGTAATTAATAATAACTGCAATAGTTTACGTTTAATGTTAAATTTGATGGAAAATTAACCTTTTAACCAGCAATATTAAATTCTTTCACAGAAACTTAAAGCTGTAATATAACCAATATAGTAACTGAAGTTATTTATAATTGATTGCATTTAATTGCCCTTTAAGGTTGTGTGTGGCAGACATTGTAATTCGCTTGTGTAATCTTACAAATAAAAACTTAAAAATATGTTAATTTGTAAAATAAATCATCCTGATTTATGCAGATTATCAGTCAAGATAAGTTTTCATGTATTACTTAAGACACAACCAGTTTGTTAGATTAATATAGTAGAAACACTACTGACTAGTTTATAATTCATTGATAAATGATCACATTTAAAAATTTTGAGGAGTTATCCTTCAAAAACTTAACTTAAAAAGGTGGTAAATAAATGATAATAATCTTTAGGATAAATACACAAAAAGTATTTTATCACATTTATCCTGAAGATGATATTTTGAAACGTCAAATGTTCGAGTTAGAAACGTCAACAGAATGAAATCGGGTTATTCAACTTCGATTATTTACTGATTAAAATTGATATGGTTACAATCTAGAATGCTAAATCTTTCAAATAAATCTGCAATTTCGTACAAATATGTGGAACCTGGAGAAATGACAAGGTTGTTTGAAGGATCTGTTAGAGGAAAATGAATAGAAATTAATGGCATTTTTGATTTATATATGTATTTTGACAAATTATTATTATTATTATTATTATTATTATTATTACTAATTTATTAACTTGTATTATCAGTCCTGACAATATACTACAATACATCCATGACTGACATATTGGATATTTTTAGTATTAGTTTTTGGTATTCTGTATAATGTGATGAATAAACAGATTTTATTTAACTCGTTTTTCAACTCTAATTTGGTGGCCTTTTCTAGATGTTAAGATCGTGACTATATGTTAATTTGACTGAGAAACACTAATTTAGCTTACTCTACAAGTTTTTATGCTTGTTATAGTTACCAATTTAAAGAAATTTTGTGTTTGTTTACAAAATATTCAATACATAAGTATTGAAAATACATTTTTATGTTACATAGATTAGAATTTGCCATAATTATAGAATAAATTCAATATTTTACTGCTTTTAGCTCTATATTTTAATCTATTTCTGTTTATAATTTAATCTGTGATTGCATCATGACTTCTTATCACATTTTTTTTAAGAAAATTATAAATTTAGTATGATGATAGAATAAATTTGTGTACATTCTTGTATTTTATTTAGTTATAAATTTAATTTTTTAGGTGGTTCTCTGACCAAAATTGCTTATTATTCTACGGTCTCCTATAAGCAAGCGCTTTATGAAGACGATAGTGGAAAGGTGAGTTTCTAGAAGTTATTTATATGCTAATACTAGCAACAAGTTTATACATTCATAATTTATTAATGATACTTTTTTTAAAGTTATTCAAAAACAAAAAATTTACAAGTAACTTTTGCTTTTATTATTTGGATCAACTTACAAATAAAACAAAAACTTGAATATTGAATGAAACATTTAAACACATTAAACTTTAAAATACACGGGTTTTATAATACTATGTTCATAACAATGAATTTTTTATGGGTCAACGTGCTTTATCTTTAACACAGCATTGAAATTGTGTAACCTTTCAGAACAAAATCAGTTCTTAATAGTCCTCTAGTATTTTCATTCAAGCTTTCTTGGTTCAGTTTCAGGGTTTTGTATTAAGTGTTGAACACTATATATTGTAATGGTGATAAATCTCAATATGATCGCAGATATATCAGTGTGTAGCATTCAATTTTCAGCAGTTAAAAGTTGTAATTATAACTTTGAATGCTTAAACAATAGTATATTTACTTTTATAAAATAAGATCAAAGGTCATTGTAGAAAGAAGGCAAGAGTTAAACTGTATAGGGTAGAAAATCCTTTGTGTAACCTAATACTTGTCTTAGGGAAGCAGCTTGCTATTATTTACTACTGGATGATCATAAAGTTGTCCTATTCATAGGACTATAGCTCCAACCAATAAGCCAGTTGACACCAAAATTTGTGTATATGTTATTCACAGAACATGGAAAAGGATTTCTGAATTTTCCACTATACAATAAACAATGCTGCAAAACAAAACAGAAGCACAATAGAAAAGTATCTATTCATCCATATGGGAACGTACTGGTAAATGCTGTACAGATTGCTTAGCTATGCAGGAAATGTTCAGTATGTTCCCAATTGTTTAGGTGTAAAATTTGAAGACAATGTGCAGTATGTTCAACAGTTGACTGCAGCTGTTTTCTATGATGCTTTGCACATGTAATACAGTATTCTTTTTATTTTCTACCCTATACAGTCTAACTCCTTCCTTCTTTCTACACTGACCTTTGATCTTATAAAAATATAAATTTACTCTGATATTTAGATATATTGTGGGTGTATGTTAAGAAAACAGTTTTAATCATAATACCAAATAATAAGAATAATTTGTCTTACTACAGGGAGAGGAAAATATGGAGGACAGACCTTAACCTGATCTTTTGTGACTTCTGTCTACTATGCAGATGTATTGCCAATTACATTATCTGAATCTCTATTTGATCTTTGCTTCCATAACTATATTTAGTTCTAAGTAATTCTGTAATTAGAATCTGTATCAATTAGAAATTAATTATAGAAATGATTTAAAGTAATGTTTGATTCTAAGCATCAATTGAAAAATTTCATATTTGTTCTCAGATGAAAAATCTGGAAGAAAAATATCCACTTTACCAAAAAATGAGTGTTTTTCCTCATAATATTTGTTATATTAAAAGTATTAATTATACAGATGATTCATACTTCCTGTGGATATTTTTATATTGTTTGAATGATGAAATTTTGCTTCAGAACTGGTTAACCTTGACAGTAATATTACTACTTCAGTAGATCATATATATTTGCAATGGAATAAAGTATTTGTGGTGTGGCATATTTCTCATGTAGCAATAAACCTACAATCAAAAATAATTTGAAAATATTTGTAAATCTATTTTTCATAATATTAATGTATAATTATTCAGTTGTAAAAGAAAACTGCATTTCAATGTGTAGTTTGACAATTAAAATTGCATGTTTAGTATTGTATGTAATGGGTTATTTCAATGAATCAGAAACTTGTCTCATAATTTTGATAAAGAAAGAGAGATTGTTTTATTTCATACAAATTGCAACACTTATTCTAATTTCTCACAAGTCTTTACCAAAATTCTTAATTCTTTACACATGATGTCACTCTGTATACATCTATATTATTAATTACAAATGTTGAAAAAAAATGTTGCAACGATGAACTGAATTATAAGAGGAAAAGTGAGTTTTAGTTGTATAAGTGTGTTATTTGTTCACAAAAATTTTTTAATAAATTCAACTGTTTTTATAAATGTGTTCTAAATAGTAAACTAATTACTGGAAACTGATGATAGATGATGCTGTCATCTTATATTGAATTTAGTAATCAGAAATAATTTAATTGAATAATAGATTAATTTAGAATATCTGAATTAGTCACCCAGATTGTAATATAACTATAGAACAGGGGTGTCCAACCTTTTTGTTTCTCTGGGCCACATTGGATGAAGTCTTGGAGTTTTGGGCCATAAGTATATATTATATAGGCCTATATTTGTGGCCCAATATACAAGTATATTTCAGGATTAACATGTTTTGATTATAATAATAAGTATTAAAACTTTATCATGAATAAGAATATTTAAAAAAATTACTTATACAGACATTTTCAATTTTTACTTAGAAATAGATAAATTCATTTATTAAAAAAAAGACAAGCGAAAATTTATTTAAAAACACAAATATTTGTTATATTTGGGTCACTAATTAATAAAAACCCTCATTTTACACCATTTTAAAGTACAGTTGTTTTAGTTTTTTAAACTGACGGTACTGAGAGACATCTGTAGAGCAATAACAGCCGGACTGTCGCCATATCTGGGATAGTGACTAAAGAAGACGTAAGAAAGGGATTCCGCGAAGGAAAAAAATAGTACCTAAATTCGCCGGTAGGGGTGGATTTGGCGCTGTCGTAGCGAAACAGCTAAGAATTTGCATAAAACCCAGCTGCAATTAACAAACACACAAATGAATAATCGGACAGAGGTTTCAGTGCAATAATGAAAGTTTAATTAATCGTCAAATAATCTTCTCCTCCTTCAATGTGACCACCATCCTGCTGGACATCACATTGCATCATGAACACCGTGTTCTCTACAGCCGAACGTAACATGTCTGCAGGAATGTTCATCATAGTTCGAGAAATGTTGTTCTTCAAGGTCATCAGGTTGGGGACACCACCAAGATAGACCTTGGACTTTAAGTAACTCCACAGGAAAAAGTCACATGGGGTTAGATCGGGGGTTAGAACCTTCAACGAGTGCAATCGCAACATCACTGTCTGTGCAGACACGGGTTTTTGCCCTCTACCAGGCTGAACTGCTAAGGATCCTGTCTCTTCAAATTTCTTTATCAAGACTTTCTCTGCATTAATTCATAGAGGACCTCTGTGCCAGTTGTTACGGGTTCTAAACTCACGAAGAGCGCCCGGTGCGCTCGATTAGTTAAGATAATAAAGATTCACAAGCAACGCACGCTGAGGTAAGGAAAGATTCATGTTGAACTCTGCTGAAGTCCGGAATGCACTTCGGACTTTTGTGCTTGCCTATTAAGCTCAAATTAGGTGGTACTGCTGTCGACCACGTCATTGTGAATTCGGATTTTGAGGTGTTACCAGCGCGTTAAGCAAATTCTTAGCTGTTTTGCTACAACAGCGCCAAATCCACCCCTACCGGCGAATGATGGGAAAGAGATTTCTTTTTGAAATCTCTTTCCCATGTTGTCCTTAGTCACTCTCTCAAATTTGGCAGCAGTCCGGCTGTTAGATTGCTCTACAGATGTCTCTGAGTATCATCAGTTTAAAAAAAAACATCCTGTATTTATGAATAATATAATAATATGTAAAAAGTAGCTAAAGAGCCAAATGATAGTTTTTCTGTCAAACAAAAGAAAACGTAGCCACATTTGGCGCAATATAGCCAAATGTTGCAACGTTGGAAGGAATACTAAATAATGCTGGAGTTGGGACTCAAGGATTATAGACCCAAATGCGGGACAAAGGACAAAAGATAAATAAATGAGGAAGGTTGGAAAATTAAAGGTCAATATTTACATAACAGAAGGTTTATTTAACCTTTCTCACTACTTTTCATCTTTCGGATTTTCTCTTCTTTCCCCGAATTTGGGACTATAATCTTTGAGTCACAATTCCAGCTTTATTTAGTATTTCTTCCTCATTCACACATTTCCAAGTATTTGAAAATATTTCCTTTCCACTGAAAAATAGAATATGTATAAAGTTTGTGAAACTTCTTTTTTGAGTTTATGCCGTTGAAATAAATAAATAAAAAATAAATAAATAAAATTTTTTGGTTTTGTTTACACGTTTATTGGGCCGCATTGGAAGTTGCCTTGGGCCGCATGCGGCCCGCGGGCCATGGGTTGGACACCCCTGCTATAGAATTTGTACATTGTATGAGTGCATTAACAATATATGTGCATGTTATTTTTATAGTGTGAAATGTACTTTGGCTATTACTTACATACATGTATACAGTACATTGGGTGATCGGTTAACGAACATAATCCATTCCAAGACTTAGTTTGCTATCCAAATTGTTCGTTAACCGATTATCGATATACCATAGATTTTAATGGGAATTTAATTAATTCGTTCTGGAGACCCCCAAAAATTAAAAATATATACTTTCTTACTATGTTTATTTATATGTAATAATAAAAATACATACATACACAGTCTTGCATTTTTATTAGTCATGTTTCTTCCGTTTGAAAAGGTTAAAGAATCTGTCTAATGTCGATTGCTTTTCTCTTTTCTTCAGGATTTTTCATAAGTAATTAATAGCATTGCAATTGTAGAAATCCCCAAGCCTCAACCTGGTTTGGATGCCATTCTAAGACCGTTGTTCTGACATCCTCCCACTTCTTCAAAGGATCTTTAATAACAGATATCGGCATTAATCCTCTTTTTCAGAATAAAACATATCTTGCTGAGTTTCTTGGTGTTTTTCATTCAAGAGTTCTTGGCGTTCTTCTGTCGTCAGATCCATTTCAGGTTCCATTATGAACTCTTCGATGTTCTTTATTTCTCAGATGTGATTTTTGTTACTCCTTTAGCTGCCTGAGTCTTGTTGATTATACAGTATTTTTCTTAAATAAGATTGAACTGCGGCCTACTAGACCTGTTTGCACCATACTGCCCAGTAACATTAGGCATCTTCTGCCCACTTTCTACCTTTGCTATTATACTCTCACCTTTTGAAAAGAAAAAGAAATAGACACAAAACTTAACTTATGCCTACCCGACAGTCTTGCGAATACATAAAAGAATTGTTTTGTCAGAAAAATAAAAGACTGGAATTACAAGGGAGAGTTTCAAAGTTCGGAGGAAAACTATCTGATCGGTATATACCGGCTTGAGCGTCGATGTCGATGTCAACTTCTCCCACACTCCAAAAGTTTTTGAATTGTTGCCCGAAGACAAGGGAAGACCAATCGGTATTCATTATTTTATGTTGCTTCTTCTTGTGTTTGTTCTGTGCGGTGTTCGTTGTCCAAACATAAAAATCTTTCACAAAAGTGTTCGTTAACTGATCACACTCTGTATTTGGTATTTTCTACATAATAGGTCACATTAACATGGCAGCAACATTGACATGTTTGGATTTGAAAATTACTCAGCGACTTCAACATATAAAAATATAAATTTCCTCTGATATTTAGATATAGTATGGGTGTATATTAAGAAAACAGTTTTAATCAGATATACCAAAGTTTTGCATAATTTGAAACCAATTTACCTCAATTATCTTTTAATTTTACATTTCAGAAGAATGGTGAGTTTCGTCAGATTGTGGAGACGGATGTGGAGGGTGCAAAAATTCATTTTATTAAATTTGAAACCAAGCATATTGAAACCTGTCTGAGATTTATAAAAAAAAATTTAGTTGGCTCTCGCGATTTCATGAAGGGAAAAACTGTAAAGGCGACAGGAGGAGGATCTTACAAATATACAAATCTTCTGACTAGCACGTTGGGTCTGACGTAAGTCTTTGATTAATTTTAACTTATGTGAAATGTTGTGTTCCAATATTTGTAAAATTTGTATATTTTGTTGATTTTTAGTGTAGATAAGGAAGATGAAATGGAGTGTTTAATCAAAGGATGTAACTTTCTGTTGAGAAACATTCAGGATGAAGTATTTGAATATCACCGTCATCGAAAGGCAGAATATAAGTTTCATAATATTGATCCCAATGTTTTTCCCTATCTCTTAGTAAATATTGGATCTGGAGTTAGCATAATGAAAGTAAGTTTGTAATAGGAATGATTTGTACTGGTAAAAACAGATCTATAGAAAGTAAGGGTGCAAATGTCTACATAATTTTTTTTATCCTTATAATTTTTATAATAAATTTTAATGATAAAATATAATTGATACATTCAAAGTTATGGGAATATTTTCCAAATTTTAAGTGAAAATTAATACTTAAAGGTAGAGTCAGAATCTAAATACGAACGTATAGGTGGATCTGCCATGGGAGGTGGAACATTTTGGGGTCTGGGATCGCTTCTTACTAAAGCTAAGGTAATGTATGAGAATTTCTGTAAGTTAATTACTTATCTGTGTATTTTTAATTGGCTCACTTTCATAAATATAAATGTCAAGAAATGATTTCTGGATTAAGCTTTATCTTAAATCAGTTATGTACCATATAATCATTGATTTTTGGGCAAGAATTTGACCATTGTTAACAAAATTATTGCTTCAAAAAGCTAATTTAGTTAGATCCAGGCAGAGATAAATCTAAATTTTATTCCAGAACTTTATTTCTGAAATTCACCCAATTATTTTTGAATTATTCCAGAACTTTATTTCCCAAATTCACCAAATGCATTTTTGAATAATCTGTTAAAAATAGATTGTAAATATTGCTAGAACAATTCAAATAAATATATAATAAATAGAATTTTCTTAGACTTTTGACGACCTTCTGGAGTTGGCGGAGAAAGGAGATCACCGTAATGTCGACATGCTCATTAAAGACATATACGGAGGCGATTATCCTGGAATGGACCTGCCAGGAGATCTCCTAGCGTGTAGTTTTGGAAAAGCAATTCATTTTTGCAAAAATAAAAAGTTAAATCCAGGTACATTGTAAAATTTGATTTATTTGTAAAGATTTTAATTAAGTTAAGATGATAGTTTATATGCTGTCTTTAATCTTTTAGGCAACTTCTGTGAATCAGACATTGCCAGGAGTTTATTGTTCATGATCAGCAATGATTTGGGACAAATCGCCTGTCTTTATGCCATGATGCACGGATTGACCAGAGTATATTTTGGCGGTTATTTCTTGAGGGGTCATCCCATGAGCATGCACGCCATATCGTATGCCATCAACTATTGGAGCAAGGTGATGTGGAAAAGTTTTGAATTTTTTTCTTATGTTAGTAGATGCATAAATTTTATTTTTATATAATGTCTGTAAATTAAAAAAGTTCACATTACTAAATCAGTAAGCACCTAATGGTAAATATTATTGACTGAATTTTATATATAGTTTTAGAATTTGATATTTTATTCCTTATTAACAGGATGATTATTACTTTCCATCTTACAGATAATAGTTTTGTGTAATATATATATTCTACGCTATAAACATATCAATAGTTATATAATATACAGCAGTTATTTTACTAATATTCATATCAATGTAATTTTTATTTTGATATGATATTCATATCATATCAAAGTTCATTTTAATGTTTTTAATACGTTTATAAACTTTTTTATATATTTTATTATAGAATAATTTAAAAATGAAGAGAAAAAATTATTACTAATAAATTATTACAAAACTACCAAATTGGTTTTTTATTTTTAGTGAATATACTCTTTAAGGATACTATCAAATGTAATCCAATTTAAACTTTTCTTTTTTTTTTAATAATAATAACTTTAGAAAACTAGTACTTTTAGTTTATATATCCATCAAGAATCAATAAATAAAGTTAGAGAGAAGTTACCAGATTACTTTTCTTGAACTTTATTTTGATTCTCACTATGAATAGGAATATGAGCCAAAAGCATTAAGTTTTTCTTTGAGAATAGCATTTTGCAACAGGGCTTTGTAGTCAGAACTGACTGGATCTTCCAGTTTTTGCTGGAACCCAGAGCTATATATTCTTTAAAAAGTTTTTAATTCTAGCTTTCTTTTTTCAGGTTTTGGTGTTAATTTCTTCACTGTAGATAGCTTCTCGTCTGGGTTAATGTTAACGGGTGTAGCCCAAATTTGGCTAATTGCACCTACAAGGTGCAAAAGTCTGTGCAATCAGTCAAATTTGTACTACTCAAGAAGATTAATTTCTTTAGCTATTCTCTAGAAACTTTTGAGCTTTTCACTTTGCATATACAGTAGAACCTCGATTATCCGGACTAATTTGGAATGAAGGTAGTCCGGAAAAGGAAAAATTCGGATAATCGAAACAAATACTTTAATTTGTCTTTTAATGATAATACAACACATTTTCTTTTTGATGACATATCGGTAATATTAAAAATAAATACTGTATTCTAATTGTGATCAAATTTACGAGAAACAAACGTTCGTATTGAATTTGGACTACTACTGACCTCTGCTAACAGACTACCTATTGTTTAAAATGTCCTCTGGTGGCACAAGAAGATGGATTTTATAAAATAAAAAGCAATTGAAACTGCATTTTTATGAATAAAAATTTGACAAACTATTTATTGTTTTATGACAAGTAAAACTTTTTCATGGCGTTCGCGGCTTTTAAGTAATGCATAAACCTTTGGGCTGCGAGGCATAGGTGGTGGCCCATGTTGCCCATACGCCGTCCTTGGTCATAGAAATGATGTAATTTGGATATAAATTATTTATAAATACTTATGTCAAGTTATACTTTTATTATGACGCAAAATATATTTAATTTAATTAAGAGTTTACGACCACTGTGCTGGGTGAGACATAGTTGAAACAAAAAAAGTTATGCATTCGATCACGTACTGTACATAAACAGTATCGTAATTTGCCGGGTGCAAATCAGCAAATTCGTAAAATTTTGGTTTATTTTGAACAATCCGGATAATAGAGGTCTGGATAATCGAGTTTCTACTGTATTTAAAAATTTTGTGACTAACCAAAAATTCTCTAACAACTTCTTATGACATATTTTTTTATTTTTTCAGAATTAAACAAAATTAATTTATATCAATTATAATCAGTAATACCATATCATAATATGAAAGCTATTTTTAGTTGCATTTAAATATTAATAAAAATGTTATAACATTAATTTTGTTCATATGTTAATTAGTTACAACCTTTTCAATTGGGTGCAGAGATAATGTGGTAAATAACTGTTAAATAATAATTATTAGTTAATTATCTATTAGTATCTCTCTCATTTTTATGATTTCTTTCCCTTTAAGTGTCAAAACTGATTTAGTCTTCTTTTATAACTATCAGTTTATGTTGGAATAAACATGTCTAATAGATTTATTATCAGAAAAGTTTAAAGTCAGGTTAAATAAAATAATTCTTCATCTTTCATCTTTTATTTAAGTAAGACATATAAATGTTTGTCACTAGCTTTTTATCTGAATCTACAATTTTCATTATGATGAACATAGATGTAAAAGCTCTATTTTCTATGTTAAGTTCAAAATTAACTTGAGACTAGATATAAAATCTTAGTATTATGTGATGAATCTCATTTAATCCAGTAAAATAGAGATCATGACAGATAAAATTGCTGTCATGGTCTCTATTTTAATTAAATTACATGAAACTTCATTCTAAGATGTAGATCTTAGTATTAAGTTAATTTTGAAGTAAAATAACTTAACATAGACGCTATATCTGAGTCATAAAGAAAAATCTAAAGGTTATTGGACTATTTCCTAATTTAAATTTCTTTCGTAGGGCACAATTGACTGGGACAAAGTAAATAGGGATCTATAAAATAAGTTAGTGAAAAGTATCATGTGTATTTGGAAGAATCTCATTTTAACATATCATAGATCTACAGTTTCTCAGAATAACGGATTTTTTTTCCTCGGGTCCCACCAGATCAATGTAATTTTACCTCTTTATCCGTAGCAGATCCGTAACTTGAAATTACAGATTTTTTATAGCACTATCTATTGTAAATTTTGCATTTTCTCAACATTTAATTAATATTTGGGTGTTTCTGGAAATTTGTAATGTTTAATGATGCATTTGTTACATCTGGGATATGTATGGTACAAAGAATCAGCAGGCTGAACAATTAAGGAGGAGCCATCTGGTGAAAATTTTGATGCTGGTCCAAGTGTAGTACTGAAATTTAGCAAGACCATAGTCTTTCCAACTTGTGAAGACCCTCCTGATAAGTTTCGGTATAAATGAACAAGCTGTAGTGTACATGGCATTGCTAACATCAAGCAATTGTTGCATTCAATAGGCAGAAAAGTAGCATCAAAACAAACCAATATGAACAAGTTTTTTTAACAAATTGAAGTCAGGTGAAGTGCTAATGAGTGTAAATAATTTCTCTTTTTGTTCTTACAATATATACAGTTTTAGTCACCTTTGTCATACATATATATGGCATATTATACAATCTTGTAATATAAATATTTCTACAGAATAGGGATCTCAAGACTGAATAATTTCAAGTACAGATATTTCTTACATGAAGGAAATTAAATAATGAATATTTTCTTGGGTGAACAGAAAATCCATTGTTTGCACTATAATGGATTTTTGGTGGCCTGTATGATCCATTAAAATTAGATTGTACTGTATATTGTTTTTGTACAGTAAAATACTCATTGTAAGTAGCAATTATATGCAGATGTAATCAGAATTTCTGATAATTTTAAACATGTATTCTTAAAGTGCTCCACTATTAAATATAATTTGCCATTATGTATACAATCACCCCAATAAATGTTATTAATCAAACAATACAGTTGAATTCTTAACGGACTACAGTAAGACTAATTAATTAATAAGGTAGTAAGTAATTAATAAGGTAGAGGTATGTGATTAAGCTGCCATCTTGTGTTAAGTTTAGTAATCAGAAATAAGTCAATTTTAATTTTGAATGTTCTGGAAGGCAGTTTGTATTTTTTATAAAATTCTTTATTTTAAATGATAAAACAGAATAAAATTAATCAATTTTAAAATATGTTAAGAAAGCAAAACAATATTTCTATTTCATTGTTTATTTTTTATTTTTTTTTTTGTTCTTATATAATTATTGCTTTCTATGTATATCTACTCAAAAGACATAAAATATTTAGCTTAAAATCATTGCAGTGCATTTTTCTGTCATAAAAAAGTAGAAAAAGTAGCACCAGAAATCAATGAAGCATTGTGAAATCTTTGAGCTGGTGACTAAAGTCAAGGGTGAGCAGTACCCTTTGAGTGTTAGTTTGCCTGTGTACACCTGGTACATATAAGAGGATACCACCTCAGATGAATTTTAAAATAGTGTCCACAATGAGTGCTATGGACATCTTATATTTTGAATAAATTTGTTGGACTGTATTGGACTTATGCAATTGGCATTTTGTTGCCTAGGTTTATGAGAGAGAATAGCAACACCATGCTGTTGAACAATCTAGGAGTCTGCATATGTTCAACAGTTTGTTCAAGAGCTGATCGTCTGCTATAGCTGGAACCCTTTTAAAATTTTATTTTAAAGTATTGAATATTTATAAAATAATAGCCCATTTTTTTAAAATTTTGATATATGATTGGTCAATTGGTTATCACGCAACATGTACTGCAGGCAATTTGTATGACTGTCACATGAAAACAGAATTATCATGAAAGTTATTCTATTATGAAGTTATTGATGACTGAAAAATACTTGAAATCTCATTAGAAAAAACTGGAACCACATTAAAAAGTAAAGCTTGGCAAAACATTTAAATAAAGAAAACTTTTAATAAAAGTTGTGGCATAAAAATACTGGAACCATATTTGACAGTAAGATTCAACGTGTGAATAAAGTGTACATTACACAGACTACAACTACAGGAAGTTTTGGATGAAGCAATGTCACCGTGATATTATTTTGTTATGTAATATTTAAAAGTCATATAAAAAGCGTAACTTGTGTTGACTTGTCTTGCAGAAAATCATGTATGATGATAAAAATGCTTTATTTTGGATCTTATGTACTTTTTTATTCTGCCATTAAAGAATTGTTTATTCTGTAATTTTGGCTATCTGGTTGTCCTGAAAGGTAGAGCTGGAGCTATGAATTGGGGAACTCCCAATTGTTTAATCAAATCAAAGTAATATGGGGCTTTGGAGAGCTGGCCTTACTTTGGATCAGTTGGGCCCTACACTAGGATTATAACTCAAAGTAAGAACTTTTAAACTAAATAGAAAAATTATTGTCCTACTTTGTGAGGAGTTTAGAGTTAAAAACATTTTTATAGTTTACATTTTAGCAGTTTACATAAAAATTATTTAATTTATTTGCATAAAACATGTGACCTTTTATTCTTAAAACAATTATTCTAGATGCATATTTAAACAGTAATAGAATGTTGACTTAAAATTCATCTCAGTGGAATGGCCGAGGCAGTAAAGGATGGATTTGCTGTTTCAGGGTCTTCAGTATGTGTTTGGATTGGGAACCTTGAAAATATTTTGTGTTGGGCATTGTTCTTTACTGTCAAGTGCCCCCATAATGAACTTGGCTAAACTACAATAGGCATGAAAAGCAGCTTCTCTTAACTTTTTTAACACAAAATAGGCCTAAATTAGCCTTATCCATTGAAATGAAATTGGCCAATGGAAAAGTTTTGTTTGATTCCCCTGTAGCCTGAGGGGTAAAAATAATTAAGTCTCTAGGTATCTAGATGAAAATCATTTTCAGAACCCATTGTGTAATGAGTTAGGAAGTTTGATTAGTTTTAATTTGTTAAGGAATAAATACAAATTATTTTTATAAGATTTGCATTTAATAAAGTATTTTGAAAGTTTCTTTACATTATTCAACACAAAGTGGCTCAAAATTAATGAAAATTAGAGTTTGAACTGTACATATCTCAATAATAGAAAATTGATTGTATCTAATTAGTTTTCTCTTTATTTTCATGTTTAAATTTCTTTATTGAAGTGAAAAATATAAATTAAAGTTTTTATGATTTTATTAATTTTTAATGTGATATTTTATTCTCTTAAATAGGGCAAGGTACAAGCTCTCTTTCTGCGCCACGAAGGTTATCTGGGTGCTATCGGAGCATTTTTAAAAGGAGCCGAGGAATGCGGTGTGTACAAATAATATTTCCAGTGATTAGTTTTCTTCGTTAATTCTTTAATTTGATTCCGAAATTTATTAGCTAAATATTAAAACCAGATGACTTAAGTTCTTGTTACTGTCACTTTAATAATATATGATGAAGATTATTAATTTTCAGATACTCAAAAATACTCCTGGGGTGAAAATTATGCCGGAAGTTCTGGCCTTAAGAATGCTTTTCCGACTCAGTTTTTTTCACAGAATAACACAGTGGTAAATAGAAATTAGTGATTACATCCTAAAATAAAAGTAGTTTTTTGGTATTTACGTTATATATATTGCAGATTGATCAGTTAGAAGTTGACAGGTATAATTGGCAATTAGTGTACTGTCCCCTGCTCAGCAATCCATACAGTTATGTTCCAGACACTGTAGATTTAACGCAAGATCCTGATGCAAGAGAATATTGGCTGTTATGTTTTGAAGATGCCATTGATAAGGTATTTTTATAAGGTGCTATGATAAGGTTCTGGATAATTTTTTGTGATTTGCTTAATATTTCAAATTATTTTATAGTTTGTTCAGCGTGCTGTTCAAAGTCAACTTCATAGATGTGATGCTGTGCAGAGAGCTAATTTATTTAAAGAAAAATATGTGGATCGTTTACATCACTTAAAAGACCAACCTTTGTAAGTGTGTATTATATCATATGCTCAATTTTGCATTGAAAAATGGCTTTAAAATGTTTTTAATAGTATAATAGAATATATTAATTAACAGATTTCAATATGTTGGTAAATCAAGTGTCCTGAACATTCAGTTAAGGTTAGTAATGCCTTAATTGAAAGTTTAAGATGGGGAAATATTTTCTTGGAAATTGATAACATCTTCCTGAAGTCCTGCAGCATATCTTCATGCTTGTTCTCCTTCTGTGTTTTAAAAGTATTACAACAACTCATTTCTTTGTTTTGCTGAGACTTGCATTAGTCTTTGTGTGGAGTTTTTGCTTGTAACATGTCATGTTCATGTGATATTGGCACTTCAGTTAGTTTCCTATATGCTAATTATATATTAAACATGGCTCCGAACCCAAGGATAGTGATGCTAGTAGCTCTAATAAGCCAAAAATAGCTGTAAAATTTTAATTTAGTGAGAAAAGAGAGAGGATTTTTTAAAGTATTGCTTTTATGATTTGCTGTTCCATGCTATTTATTGTTTATATAGTGTTTATTTACCTTATTAATACATAAAAATATGTGTGATAGATACATTAAGTTAGGAAATACTTAATAATTAATGGGGTTTGTTATTTTATATAAATTTCTGTTATATGAAAATCTTGGAAACTCTTGCATATGGCCAGGTCCTAACTTTATAATATTTAGTACAAAATAAGCTATAGCACTATAAGTTTCATTCATGGACTAATCTGACTTACACGAGTCTGTCCATTTATTAGGATATTTACTGACTTTTATATAACTGCAAATAATTCTGTAAACTTACTTAATTACCACAATTACAAATTAAATATTAATCATTATAATATTGCAATTATTGTTAGAAGTGTAATCATTGAGTTAAACATCTTTCTTATAGTGCTTATGGTTCTCTGACTGTAAGAAGTTTACTAGATATGAGAGAACAGTGCTTGAATGAATTTGATTTTCCAGATCCTTATCTTCAAGTAAGTTTAGATTTTGTATTAACGATATTTTTTCATTAAAATTTAATGCTTATATCAATTAAAATTTAATGTTTATATCAGCAAAAGAGAGTAGAAAACGAAAATGCGTTAAGGTTACTTGCTAAAAGATTAGAAGCATTGGATGTCATGTCTTGGGAAGAACGTCAAGAGGCGTTGGTTATCGGTCTCCTTGCTGGAAATGTATTCGATTGGGGTGCTAAAGAGATTGCAAAACTTCTAGAACATTCAGAGTTTGACTTTTACGATGCTAAATCACAATTACAAGGTAAAATTATAACAAAATGTTTTATGTTACAATAAAAAGACAAAGCTTCCTTTACACAAAATAACATTGTAAATTATTTTGTATTAGGAAGACCGTGGTTAATCGATAATTTAGATGAATGGTTAAAAAGACTAAAAGGCCCTCCTCATAAATGTGCGGCAATATTTGTCGACAACAGCGGGATGGACGTAGTTCTCGGTGTATTACCTTTTGCCCGGGAACTTCTTCAGAATGGAACTAAAGTAAGTTGTCAATAACATATTTGAATAGAACTAGCATTTATAGTTTTTAACTAAAGATTTTCTGTGACTAATAAAAAATTAATACTCACTAATACTATTTATTGTTTTTTCTGAATAAGTTTCCTCAATTTGCAGAACCCAGATACCAGTATAAGTTCTACTAATCTAAATATATAAAATTACTTGTCCTGACTGACTGATTGATTCATCATCGCCCAGAGCAAACTGCTGAACCTAAAGAGGTGAAACTTAGTACACAGTTAGGGTACATCATGAAAATGCACACTAAGAAGAGATTTTTCGAAATTCCCCAGAGGGGGAGAACATTAAGACTTAACTGGAAGAACAGTTTCTACTGTTCTATTTTAGATGCAATTTTTTTGTTTTCAAATAGGTTAAGTCTTAATTGAGTACTTATGTGAATTAAATTGATAACGTTTCAGACATTGTTATAAATATTTTTATATATTTTTATTTTTTAACCAAATGCTTGAATTGTTTTAAATTTGAATTTGTTATTGCATATTGGTTCAATTATAGAATGATTGTAAACATTCCAGAAAATTGATCAAATTGAAATCAGTTAATCTGATTCTCATCATTCTCAGCAGTAGGTGTTATATAACAGTTACTATGGTTGTTGAAATACTGAATATAAATAGTGTTTGCTTACAAAATCCACACGGGCAAAGTCACAGGTAACAGCTAGTACAATATATCCCAGTAGACATTTATATAAAAAGGACACAAAGGCATATGAATTAATACCCTCTAATACTAGTTGGATGATTTTGTTGCCAAATATTGACACAGGTCTCTTTATAAGAAAATAATTTAGAAACTCTTTTAATAGTTCCTTCTTAATTATTTAACATCTAATCTTAATAATACTTTGGCTGCAAAATTAACAGTTTAACCAAACTTTCAGGTTTTACTGTGTTCCAACAGCAAGCCTGCACTGAATGATGTTACGTATCAAGAGTTAGAAGTTTTGGCTAGGAAAGCGGCCATGATCAACGAAGACATCCATCGAGCACTGATGGAAGATCGTTTGAGAATTTTGGATTCGGGTCAAGGTTCGCCGTGTTTGGATCTCAGGTAATACAGTTTTAACCACATTTAAAATCCACTATAAAATTGCCATCTAATGATAAAAAATTAATGGATATTTGAAATAATGGAGGTTGCTAAATAAATATCCAAATTATGGATTAATTATCACATTTATTGATACGGCAATATCGAGGTATATACGGCGAATCGGTGCAGATGTGAGCCACACAGGATCCACTAACAAGAAACGTAGTATTTTATTTATCATACTAAAAGTTCCAAACAATAATTGGTGGCCATTATCAGGATCCTTACTTAACATTGTCTCTAGAGGCATTTAATAGTCCAAATGCAACCAAATCTTGTACAGGAACATTTTGGGACATGCAGAAGACATTAGACATTCTTTAAAAATCAGTTAATACCGAAACTTGCCAGTATGGTGTTTCTGTATCTTTAAATCTTAGTTCGTGTGAGTTTCGGTCATAAAAATACATAAAAAATATGGCTTATTGAAGACACGTTACAACTTTGGCAGTCTCAAAAGGCCGTACCACACCGCATGCAAGAAACCCCGTGAAGGATCAATGGCAACTGAATGCACCGATTGTTATCTTTGGATTCTTCACTGGGTCTCTATATACAGTAAATATCTCTTCAAAATGTTTTTTGCTGGCAGATTATAAAGTGTTGGTTGTAGTTTTAGTACTGTACTAGATTTTTACAAAATACCAGATTTGGTTACATTTAGATCAGTAAATATTTATGTAGACAGCATCAAATAGGTGCTCCAGTTACAATTACTTGATAATTTTTTTACAAAAAGAGGTTATTGATATTGTCAACTACCATAAAGTACTTCAGAAGACTAGAATTCAAAAGGACCGATCAATCTTCAATAAGGTGACAGGAGATTTTATGTACAAGTGTGAAAATTCTGACTAGTGCGGGCTAGAAAATTTTACTTAACCCATACCAATACCATTCATTTAGCCATTTTAAATACCTTAGAAATACAATTTTGAAATGCAAGCAATTGGAAGCGAGGCAAAAGCTATCCATTCCGGGAAGCCAATGCTATTTGTACTTCTCTAGAAAATAATTTGGATATTTTCGACGACCTCTGTTTTTCGGTAGATAAAATCGTAACTCGTGTCTTTTTCTTACGGTCCAGCCGGCTGAAACTGGAGGTGGCCGAGATGATGACCGCCCTGGGCACGGATCTGGTCATCCTGGAGGGAATGGGCCGAGCGGTGCACACCAACCTGAACGCCAAGTTTTCCTGCGAGGCCATCAAGGCGGCGGTACTGAAAAACCAGTGGTTGGCCAACCGCCTGGGAGGTTCCATGTTTTCGGTCATATTCAAGTACGAAAAGCCCTGAAGCGGACGGACCGAGGAGGGGTTGGAGGGATAAAGAAAATTCATCTATGCCGTCCTCTCGCAATACTTATTTTACACTTTAGTTCCACTCAGGGTTTATATCTCTATTTATTGTCTAAGGAAAAGTATTGTATATTATTATTATTATTATTTTGCATGAACAAGTAGAAAAATCTTACTCTTTACAAATTTTGTCACGGAGGGAAACCCGCACTACCGATTACCGCGCATCCCAGACCACAAAATGTAACTTATTTGTTAACGCATGGTTCGGATCGTCCAGTATTAAACAGTAAACATTTTCGTAGGGGGATTCGGTTTAAATCAAACGGTAAACTATATTTTAATCTCGTGAAGTCTTCCATGATTCGACGATATTTCTACCAAGAAGCAAAATTTTTCTAGCTCATAAAGAAGGGGAGGGGAAAATGCAAACATTTTTAACAGAAGTTGTTATTAAAATTTAAATTTGGATTGTTTAATCGATTTAAACTTTGGTATGTTCGATAAGGGGGTGAAAATCGAATTAATTTGGACGGGGGAGGGCATTTGTTTAACGGTTGAAAATTACAAAATTTGTAAGAAGTTTTAACGGCTTTGGTAAAATAACGGTCATAATTTCGAGCATTTCGGTTCGTAGTCGAAGGGTTTTTTATTTTTTTCAAAGCATTATTTTAATAGTACGGTAGCGTGATAATGTCGGCTCAAAGCTCAATATACAGTAAAATAGTTTGTATACAGTATACATAATGTATAAACGAAGAGTTAAGAGATTAGCGGTCGTCGTTTTTGTGTTAGTATTCAAATTTTTTGATGGTTTCTCGTTCCGGCGATTCGGAAACGTGTATAATAGAAACATTTCTGACGGGATAAACCTATGCATTCCGAATCGCTCGCTCGACGTTTCGGAGCCCGAATCCCGGTCGTTCGGATGATGGGTCGCATATATTACTTTGAGATTGTCGATAGATGTTTTTTCTCTTAATATTACGGTTGCATAAAGTTGCATAAATAAAGTTTAAAGTTTTCTAAAAATAAATTGTAGAGAATTTATTGGCGCAGCGCTTTACTCTTCGCGGTTGCACCGTTATATCCATCACTAGTCTGCCCGTCGAAAGAATCGACTCGGGCATTAACCAATGAGCATCGGCCGTCGATCGCTTATTTCCGGTTCCTTGTTTGTTAAAACGTCACCGCCATTATAAACGATGTTACGTTCTAGTATTGGAATACGAGGAAGTTGGCTATAGTTGTTAATGCACGCTACAATGAGGATTCATGCGTTTAACTAAATAAACTCGGCAGAACGGATTTTCCATTAATTATCTAGTGAGAGAGAATAAAATTCACGCGCTGCCCGAAGTATTAAGCGAAAAGTGCCGATTGGTTTAACCGGAGCGACATCACGCGTGACCTCGAGTCGATTCTTTCTGTAGAGGGACTAGTCGGTAATTACGTACATTTCTTATCGCGAAATAACCACCCGTAAGCCGGGTATCACGGGTAAGTTGGTGGTAATACGTTGCTAATTTCTCGAGAGGATACTTTAGCCTACAGTTAATCTTTATTGTAGTATATATAATATTTTCTCTTGCACGTTTTATCTGCCAATATACGTACAGAAAATGTGGGTTCGTGCGTACATTCGATTCTGTAGAGCGTCCATCAAGCATACATCCTTCTTCATACGATGCCTGGCATTTGTGATACCGAACCAAACAAACCGCATTGCATCATTATGCCCCGGTTTTATTTTCGATATCTTCCAACTTACCGTTTTGGAACAAGTCGAACTGACCGGAAATTCTGGGTAAATCTCCTCTGATTTCGCCTTATTTTTTCGCAATTTATTACGGAAAAGATTGGTTTCTTTCCGAGGTACGTTCGTCTGTCAATTGGTTTCGTATCCGCAACTCGGAGGAGGAAATCGGTAGGGAGACGGGTTTCCGTTACCATACGTACTCGCGACAGTAAATATAAACAAACCAGCAACGAGTTGAGCAGCTTGTATTTGTATGCAAACCTAACCAAATTCATGTTCGTATTCTGTAGGAATGCACACTACAAAAAGGATTTGTCCTTTCTGGGTTGCAATTTGAAATAAATTGTAGACCTATGCATTCCCATTGACGTCCGTCCGGTTTCCTTAATCTCGAGAACGGAGTTAGACGAGACCAGATGTGGAAAACTTAGGGTCAAGAGGTCCCGATTAACTATATATGAACTGATGCAAATTGGAAGTGGCGTTATTTCAATTCAAAAATTTCCCCCAAAAGGTTGTAATGAGGAGCACGACTGTATTGTTAAAGGAAAAGTATGACGTACAGGGGCACCCAACTAATTTAAATGGAGTGTGTATATTTTAAATTTAAGTGTATTTTAAAACGTAATATTACGGTTGCGTATTAGTCATTCTAATATCACAAACGATCTACGCAGGTGTACACCATTGTCTTTGAACGTTATACAGTAACCGTGCTGGCACGACGTGAGAAGAATGATTGCTATCATTGCGCTATTGGGGCACGAAGTTATTCTCTAATCACAATTTCTGTGCACGACTTTTAAATTTTCCTTTAAAACGTTTATGCACAGTACAATGAACAGATACAATTATTTCATGTTCCAACTCCACCACTGTAACCAAAGCCTGGACTCCACATTACCTGAAAACAGAACTGAAACATAGAGTTTTCGTTTTAACTCGACACCACTAAAAATGCGCCATCTGTTGATCAGTTCTATAATTGTGGTAGAGTCAAACATGGACGACGCTACGGATTTTGCCACGATTTCACTGCAAAAATGTAAATAATCTTTGAATTATTTACATTTTTTGTCGTACAGACATCTGTATTTTCTAACTTGTTCGATGAAGAATTCCAAATTATTTATTTATTCGTCGTTTTCGCTACAATTTCTGCCATTACGACAATCAAACTACGTGACTAATGCACGTGACTACGCGTCATAAATCTTTGCGTTTTTTATTGGTTGCAGTACGACAAGCCGGGCCGAAAACAGAAAAGTTAAATAATTTTTAACTCCGCTTTCGGTCTTGTTTCTGTCCAACAGAACGTTCCAAAACCGGAAGTTTCGTCAGTTTGGCTTTCAGTTTTACGATTACGTCGCGGATTCCGGTAATGTGGAGTCCAGGCTTAACACTTTACAGAGAAGTGTTATAAACAGACTCGACTCCGACTGTATTTCGTCCGTCCAGTCAAACTTCGGGTTTGGAACGATTCGGTTTACGAACAACAAAGTTTTGAACGCCATATTTGCCCCGGTTGTGGAACAAGCTACTCCTCATCATAGATCGTCTCTTTTCGCGTAACGATCGATCGATGACGTTGCTATTTAAATTACATTTCGATGCGCACGCGGGAAAGATACTTTTTCCGTTTTTCGTTACGCGCCAGTCGAATTTAAATCAAATTAATAAAAACCGCCTTAACCGACATTTTCTTAAGAGTTCGAAATTTTGTTCGTGAACCGAATTGTTCGAAATCCGTCTTACCTTTACATTTGCTTACGTCGTGTCCTCGACTGAAAAAACTCCGATCCGATTGCCTGGCCCAATACAATACAACCGGATTAAATCAATTTCCTAATCTCCCCATTCGAAGGCGCTTTGGTAACGAGTGGAGGCGGAAGACGTCTCCTCCCGATTGTTCGATCGATCGTACACGAAAACGTAAACGTCGATTTAAGGATTGAGTTTAATTCCGTTTATGACGGAGCGAGAATCCAATTTCCTCTTAAAACGCCAGTCGGGAGGAAGATTTAGTGTGAAAATCGACGTTTACTGGGAAACATCCCGACTCCTTTGTTCTTTAATCGCCGTTTTAATGTTTTCCGGACTCCCAAACTTATTTTAAAATATTCGATATTCCGTTTCCTCCGAGTTGAGTATTTGGCCACGCAGTTTTTTCAGTGGACACAATTACCATTTTTAAATGGAGCATTCAATCGTTCGCGGTTTTAAATGGACACAACGCCGGGGGGAGAATCTCTCCTCCATTAGAGATTTTCGAGTGTTTCTGTTCGATTTTCTATACAGAATCCGTCGATGCAATAATTAGGGGAAACACCGGCCGATTCGGGTGTCGGCCATTTTCCTTCTGCCGTTACTAACGCGAAAAACTCCTACCTATAGTCGAACCTCCGTAAACCGGACTAGTACGGTAGCGAATATTTTGTCCGGTTTGGCAAGTTTTCCTTTCGAACGGGTTTTTTAACACAGAATGGCCTCGTTTCTAGGAATTTTTCCGGTTTATAGGTTTTAGGGTGTTCGTCTTTGTCTTTTACCGCTCCACCTTTTTGAATCTTTTCGGTGGAAAAGGAAATTTCGTAGGCATTTTCTTCCTCCAAACGTTAGGGATTTTTCCCTGCTTCTGTCAAATGAGTTCAACGGCCGTCTGGCGGAAATCGTCGTCGGGAAGGATGCGTTGGAAGTTCGATAGCGATTGGGTTCGGACCCTTATCTGAGGGAGAACGCCGGATCGGAAGAGGAGAGGGAGGAAACGTTCCCGAGCCGGATTCTCTATTCCTCCATCGAACGGACAGTCTGGTGAGTCAAACTTTCTCCGCTTTTCTTTCCCACGTGTTTATAACGTACGGCGAATCGATCCCTCGACGACCTCACTCCAAAACGTTGCTTTTTTACAGACGAACGAAAATACGAATGTCCGTCATCCACCGTGCCGTCTGGGTGTGGGTGATCCTGCGCGTTTCCGCGGTTTCGGGTAAGTTTCTTGGCCACCCCGTTGTAACGCCACCGGTTTTAAGGAAGAATAGTTTCAGGTTTCGTTCCTCTGGAGGATCTCTTGCCCTTCTCCCACCGGCAGGGGGAGAATTGTCGGGCGGCGGATGGATCCCCGGGAAGATGCGGATCTCTGGCTCTGTGTCCGGAGGCCCTGCTGTCCCTGAAACGGGGCAAGTTGCCGAAGGTGTGCGGATTCCGAGGCCTGGAACCTCTAGTCTGCTGTCCCGAAAAGGACGGGACCGCGCGCTCCTCCTCGAAAGGTAAGATTTCGGCCAACGTCGCCCACTCGGCGAAATTTCTGATCGAAAATCGTTTCAGGATGCGGATGGAGAACGAAACCGAAATCCCACGCGTTGTTCGGAACGCCCGATTGGCAGCAGCACCTGGTGGTGGGCGGGAGGATATCCCAAGAGCCCTGGCCCTGGATGGTAAGTTTTGCCGGGTGGAAGGTACCGAAGGTCGAGTGACCCTATCTCTTTCCGCGCAGGTGGCCATTTTTTCCAAGAATTTGAAGGGGGAGACGTTCCTGTGCGGGGGATCCGTCATCGGGCCCGATACCGTCTTGACCGCGGCTCACTGTTTCGCCGACGATGACCGGAAGTGAGTGCCACGTTTGCCACGGTCTTGGACGTCGCTTCCCACTAAATTCCGTGGTCGTTTCAGAATAGAAGCCGGCCGATACGTGATTCGAGCGGGCAATTTAATCGAACACAAAGGTAGAGCCTACGGCGCCTCCCGGATTCTTCTCCACCCCGAATACACCTCGAGGACTCACTACCACGACGTCGCCCTGATCAGACTGGAGGAGGACCTAAGACCGGAAGACGCCCGGCCGGTGTGTCTTCCGCCGGAGACACTGACCGAACAGGCCCTACGAGGCAAGAACGTTACGGTTTTAGGGTGGGGAGCTCAAAGTTACGGTAAGTCGCGTTACGCGCCGTCGATTTTAAATGGTCGGATGCGTGACGCTCGCCTTCTTACAGGAGGAATTCGAAGCCGGCAACTGCGGGAAGCCGACGTAATCGTGTGGTCCCTGAAGACCTGCAACGAATCCTACCGGCGACTGGGATCTTCCACCCTACCTCGGGGCATCACGGATGGCTTCGTCTGCGCGGGAGTTCCGGAAGGCGGAAAGGACGCCTGTCAGGTGAGCGATCGAGCCCGAGATCCGTAACTGGTCCGAAAGCGGAAGTAACCCGAACCTCCGACTGGACTTTGCAGGCCGATTCGGGAGGACCCTTGCTGCTGTCTTCGGAGGGAAGATGGAGCGTGGTGGGAGTGGTCTCGTTCGGCTATTCGTGCGGAAAGGCACAATTTCCGGGAGTGTATACCAGAGTCACCTCTTACGAGAAGTGGATCCTCGAGAATACTAGCCTGTAGGGAGGATTCCTCCGTCAAAACTGGAATTTTAGTCAAATAAACATGTTTTTTTATTCTCCGATTCCAAGTACACGTGAAATTCCTAATACCAACCAGAGGAACACGCGCTTCCCACGTGGAGAGTTAATCTTTGTTCAGTTGCACTTCTGTTAATTAAACACAAATTAGAAATTTCTCGTAACCCGTAAGCACGGGATTTCGCAGGAAATCAATTTTAGTTGGCAGATTTCGTTAAGTCAACTCAGTTTAAATAAATACGATTTCATTATTTTTACGACCTGGAAAATACGCGCGCGCCTTACCGGGAAATTCGAGCGAAGACTAAAAAACTCTTCTGTAACGACTGGAGAGGAGCCTTTTACCCCAAAGCAAAAAAGCACTACTTTCTGCGCGGAAGGACTTTTTGGCCCCCGAAAACCGATCTCGAGAAAGCTGGATACGAACCCTCCGGTCGAAACGTGGCGGAGATCGTTAACACCAACGTGCACGCGCTTACCGGGAAACTTAGAACGTCGGCGCTTCCAGGTAACAGTCGGTCCCGCCTTCCCGGAAAAACGAGAGGAAGCCTCACCCCAGATACATAAAATGCGGGGAAAGACGACGAAGAGACACGGACGATGAAGAGGTTTCTCCAGTTCTTTCTCCTCCTCCTATTACTGTTTCCCGCCATTCCGGGTGAGTTACGTCAGTCTTTCTGGTCTTATCGAAAGCCTGGATAACTTTGGTCTTCCGTAGGTACGAGAAGAAGCGCCTCCCGACGGGGGAGAAATTGTCGCTTCCGCCGACCCGGCGACGGAAAGTGCGTGAGTGCCGACTTTTGCGGGAGAATCGGAAAGGCCGGCATCTGCCCCGGAAGCGGAAGAAGTTCCCCCATCTGTTGTCCTCGCGTTCACGTCCGGAGAAGAACCGCATCCGGAGTCACTCCAGGTAAACACTAGGGAGGGAAAACCGCTTGGCATCACTTCCAGATTCAAATTAATTATTAAAAAAAACGCTCTTCTTCAAGCTTGCGGACTGAATCTTCCGAACGCGTCCCTTCTTCTGACCAGGATTCGCCAACAGGTGGTGGGAGGGAGGGATTCCGACCCCGCTTTCTGGCCCTGGATGGTAAGTTAATCTTATCCGGAGCACGCAATCGTAGATGACGGGAACTTTACTCACAGGTGTCTCTACACAAGAAGACTTCCAACTCCACTCGCTACCTGTGCGGGGGTGCTTTGATCGACCGGCGTCGCCTGATAACCGCGGCCCACTGCTTCGAACGTAAAGATCCGTAAGTCTGGATTGGCGCGCGACGTTTCCCGCTTCGCCCCTACATCTAACGAAATTTGCAGGAAAGCCTCCGACTACCTGGTCAAGGTGGGGGGTCGCGACGAAGGTAGAGAGCGACGAGTGGAGAGCGTGCGAGTTCATCCGGGATTTTCCGACGCTCGTTACTACCACGACATAGCTCTGGTGACCCTGGAAGAGGACAGAGAATGGAAAACAATGCCCGCCTGCCTACCCGACCAGAACGAAGACTACTCCGGTAAAGAAGCTGTATTGATCGGATGGGGAGACACCTCTTTCGGTAAGTACGGCACGCGCGCGCGTAGGCCACCGATTAACCCAAACTTCGCGTTTTCTTTTGGTCCAGGCGGTCGACCCGGCCGGGTGCTGCAGAAGGTGACGTTACGCGTCTTCGCTAACCGCCGATGCCAGGCCGACTACAGGAAATTGAAATCGGCGCCCTTCCCCAGAGGGATCGTCCCTCAACTTCTGTGCGCGGGACACAGACGAGAGGCTCGAGACGCCTGCCAGGTATACGTCATAATTAACGTTTCGAGCGTAGAGTACCGTTAAACGATTCTCCGGACGGGCCTAAATCCTCCCTCCTCTACTTACAGGGAGATTCCGGGAGCCCTCTGATGCTGCGAGATTCCTCCTCCGGAACCTGGAAGGTGATCGGGTTGGTGTCCTTCGGCTATCAATGCGCGGTGTCGGCCTACCCGGGCGTCTACACCAGGGTGGATCACTACCGGAAATGGATAGCGGAGAACGGGAAGAGCAGCTGACGTCGACCGTCATTAAATTCGTATAAATTTACTCCGTCGTGTCCAGCGATTTTTTTCCGAGCCGGGACGACGCCACCGACGACGGTTTAGCGGCGGAAACGACGTCGACACGCGCGCGCTCCGGTTTAAAAATAGAACGGGGTCGAGAGGAAAGCTAAATGCGGGCCGGACGTCTATCGGCAGAATTCCAAAACCGTAAAAGGACGGAGTATTGTTTGATAAATCCCATCGGACGAGCGGATGCGCGGCGACACACGTACTCCAAACGACGAAAGAACCACCTGTTGCCGCAAGATGGCGCGAGATCGATGGATAGAACGTGAAATCTGGCGATCTTCCCTCCTCCTGGGCGACGGAGGGAGAACAAAGTATCGCGGAGTAACGAATTCCCACGTCTGGTCGGCTCCTAATTAACGGACGAGGCCGTTTAAGGGAGATTTCGGGAGCGGCGCGGATTTTATCGACGTTTGTTCGCAGATTTTGCGTTTCTGGTCTAAAAGCACGCGACGGGCGCCGTCGGGCACGAGCCGACATCCCGCGCATTCCCGGATCGATCGATGCTTCCGTACGGGATCCGATTTGTTTACCTCTATCCCGCGCTTCCGGAAAATTCCCGGCCGACCGGCGGAATGCCTCCCGCCCTGGGAGGCGTTCCGCCGGTTTACGAAAGGGCAAACTAATTGCCACCGGACGGGGGAGGACGGATGCTCGCCCCCCGTCCGGTGGCGCGTGTCGCGTCCTTCGCATCGAACGAGATTCGCGCGGACTCAATTATTAAAGAGGCGGGTGCGCGGTCGCTTGGCAACGCGGGGTGGCCGGAAGAAAATCGCAGATAGGAGAGCCGCCGCCCCCGGACGGCCGCCAGATAAGGAGGAGCCGCCCACCGAGTCGGGATCTATGCCTTACCGGAAACAGTCGCTGCTGGGTTACGTGGCGGCCACCGAGGAGGTGAGACCGGGCCGGAGGTTGCCGCCGCCGCGCCGCTGGTCCGCCGCCGTCGGCTGGCGCGGCGGCGCGGTAGGCAGCGGCGGCGGCGGCGGCGCCGTCACGCGCGGCGAGATCGTGGAGCAGGCAATGGCCGCCTGCGGCCGCTACCTTCGCTTCAAGCTGCGCTCGCGCCTGGCCGCTCACAAGAAGCTGGGCCTGCAGAGGCTGAAGAGCGTGGGGGGCCCCGCCGGCGACCCACCGGTGGCCCGAGTGTCGGCCGAGATTCGCCGCCTGGCAGACGAACTGGAGAAACGTCATCCGGAGCTGTACCGCAGCGTCATCGAGAACGTGGGCCTGCAGACTCTCAACAACGAGACGGCCGTGCGCAACCTCTTCCTGGCCCTGGCCCGGCGCATCCTGGAACCGGAAGTCACCTGGGGACGAATCGTGGCCCTGTACGCCCTGGCCGGATCCCTGGCCCTGGACTGCGTCAGACTGGGTCATCCGGAGTTCGTCCCCTGCCTGGTGCAGAACGTGGGCACGCTGATGGAGACGAACGTGGCCCAGTGGATCGCTCAGCAGGGAGGATGGGTAAGTGGCACCTCGCTTTCTCTCTCTCCTTTCGCACCCGATTAATCCCCGCCCTTCTCCTCTAGAAAACCTTAACCACCAGATTCGAGAAGTCGCGCCGCCTGGGCGCCCTGCACTTGTTGGTGGTGGCGGCGAGCTTGTTCGTCGCCCTGTACTTGGTGTACTTCGCGTGAAGCGTCTTCTTCCTTCCACCGGAAAGCCGTCGTTTGTGATGAGATTCGAATTTTTCCTACGTACGAACTTAACCGCACCGACTCTTCTATTTTGCACAGCATCCGTTTTCTATTGTATTTATACGCGTTACTCCTTCCTTCTTGTGTAACGCCGTCGTTATTATTAAAATCTCTTCTCAACAACTGCCGTTCCTTCTTTACCCCACCAACTGCAGAATCCCTTTCCGTATTTCGCTGAAATTTTCGATTAACCGTTAGAAAGACTAGAAATAACCGTATCGGGTAATATTGTCCAAAACATAGTCGGATAACTGATTACATTTGAGGTACACAAGTTTTTATACCAACGAACTAAAGGGTCACCTACGTGCCGTATAAGGCTTCTAAACTCGTTTAAATTTTGCCACCGAAAAATAAACACAAGTCGGTTTTTCCTTTTATTAGAATCGACAATGCAAATCTTTAAAAAAAATTAACAAATAAATAAAATAATCGAATTACACAAAATTATAATCAAGTATTTGGGATCGTTAAAAGGACGAGAAATTTCGAAATTCGAGCCCCAAACTTTTTAGTTTGCTGGCGCTCCTTCCCGATTTTGCATCCGTGTGTAATTGCGCCCCCAAAAAAGAAACCACTAAAGGCATATTAAATCAAAAAAGATTTTTCCTTTGAAACATGTTTACAGTTTAATATAGAAATTTTCATTCTTGTGCCACAAATCCATGCAAAACTCATGACAATTATATTATCTTGTTAATTGGCAAAATTGATATATCACAAACAATTGCTTAGAATAATAAAATTTGCAGTGAATCAAATTTATGAGACAGAACTAAAGTGTTTGGGAAGAATCCGACGGGACAAAATAAATATTTTTTGTAAATGGATCGAGATGAGATGCGGCGTCCGTGCCTTGGCTGGCGCGGTCTCCCGGAGCGGCGGAAAACTTTAAATTTTGATTAGAGGATACTGTTTAAATGTAGAATGTTACCGTAGCAAAAGTATTATGAATCGATTTAGTCTTTGATTTCTAACAAAATTTACATACTTATCTCGAATTTCTTTACGATATCAAATTTTTACATAAGTGTATGGTACTCGAGATCCGGCTGGCCGCTCGGTGAGTCTTGTACCATATCCGTAGTACCAAATAGTATCCCGTCAGTCTACTTTGACTACACTGTAGATCTTTCTTACGAACCAAAAACAGGCGATGAATCCGACGGTACCTGCCGAGAAACCGTGCGGTGAGTTGCGAGTCCTAATATTTAATTATTAATACTTTAAAAACCAAAAACGTTTGTCTTACCGGTCAAGAGGAAAAACAGAAACACCATGATCGAAGTGTAGCCGAAATACAAGAATGTCGAAGTGATGCCCGTGATGTTTAACTTTGATACAAAGTAGTGAATGCAGTAAATGAACAGATAGAATGCGGTGAATCCACTTGTCAAGAATGAACGCCACCACCAGTGGTAATCCTGAAAATCAGATAGTTAATTTTTTTCCCTGCCACCTCTCGGTCCCGAGAGAGTCTCGACCTACCTCGGCGCACAGATGAAAATAACAAAGCAAAATGGTTGTTTCGGAACAGGTGATGATGAGGATGATGAAAACCAGAAACAGAAAGCCAAACATGTAGTACGTCTGACTCGACCTGCGGGATGTTAAAGATTCGTAATGCAAAATGAGGGCGGCGAGACATTAACTATTATAAGTTTTAATTACGTAAACTATTAATCTTACTTACCATATACTATTCAAAATAAAGAACAACTGAATAAAAATGCATCCGAATGGTAAAATACCCCCCATAATAATGCCGGGAATGGGTTGTGTATAAATGGATTGTTCTGGAATCTGTCTAGGAATCTGATTGGTTCTTACCGGATGTTCTATTGTCTAAATAAAACCAAACTCGTGTTAGAATGTAAAAGATTAAATTTATTTGTTTTGTAATTCGGTATGTACTCACTCTCTTCTTAAATCCAAAATATGCACCGACAAACGTCAACGGCAACGAGATACCAAACCACAGTGCCAAGAGAGCCAACAGAGTGGTAAAGGGAATAGCCGCCGAACTGTCTTTGGCCCAGAGAAGAAGATTCATCACAAAGAATAACGAAAACACGATTCTGTTATAAAAGAATAAATATGTTTACTTCAAACAATTTGAGTAAGCAACTAATAAAAGAATCACGAAAGGTTCTTGTTGCCATCAGAGTACAGAAAACTGGTGCCTGACAAAAGAAGATGAGATGCTACTTACCCGGGACAAAATAGAGCAGTTAACAGAACATTTGATTTCCACTTTTCTCCGCCAAATCCTTTATAGATTCGAGCAGAAACGTATCCCGCTGGCGTTCCCAGACAGACGTACAAAACAATGGCACAAGTCATAAGTGCACCTCTGTTAGCAGGGGAGAGAAATCCAAGACAGGCAAAAACTATATTAAATATTTTGATTACTAACATAATTTCACGTTCGATAAATTTAATAAAATAAAAAATTTTATAATTATTTTTTCACATTATTATAAAGCATTTTCAATTAATTCCGAAACTTAATGTTATGTAAGTTAACAATTACAAAATAGAACTTTTTAACATTAAAAGAAAAATCAATAAGTGTGGAGATAACAGCAGCATTGTTTCAGAAGTCCTCAGATATTTTTATAACCTATTATTTTTAAAATGATATCAGCAAGAAGCTCTTAGAATAAAAAGCCAATGTTATCATCAATGTTGTATTAATAAGAATTCATTCTGTGATTTATTTAACTAAAAGCTAAGTACAAAATGAAAATAGATTTTATATACCAGAAAGGTACAGTACCTGTAATTAGAAAGACTGTTATAACATTTAAATAACCTCCTGAAAATTTAAGTTAATGAGGAAATCTGCTTTTGCCACAATTATCAAGATCTGTGATAAAAAGTTCGACCTCATTTATGGGAGTTGTGCATTCTTAACCTGTCTTGCGTTGTTCCCGAAAATATTTGTGTTGACCTCATTGACCTGCGTGGGCAATCCCGAATAATTTCGTGTCAACATCAGAACGTTTTTGATACTAGATGTCGCTATGCGTCACAATTTTTATATTAAAACAAACTTTTGAAATATAAATTTTTTTGTTTCTATATTTTTCAATATATTTATTTTTTATGTACTACATAAAAAATAATTTTTAATGACACAGTAAACACGATTATTTAAAAAAAAAAATTAGGCTTAGCATCGACAAAAATTCAACATGGCGGTACAGTCACCAGATAAAAATTTCAACGTCAGATAGGTTAATAATCTTTCTTGATTAAAATGAACGAATCGACCAGAATAATTACCCACAGTCAAGTTTTCACATTTTGGAACAAACAAAAACATGAAAATGTGATAAAATAGTCAACATATTCAATATGAATATTTTAAATTAGTAATTACTACATGACTGATGTACAAGGGCTGTTTTTTTTTTCAACCTCCAATGGTCCATAAAACAAAGACAAGTACAAATAACAAAGTGAATTTACTACCAAACATTAAGGAACAATAAAATGAATTAATTACCAAATGTTAGGTACAAAATGGTTACTTTTTGACATAATCACCATGACAATTGTGGCATTTGTCATATTTGTGGATGAGCTTTTCCATCCCCTTGTCATAAAATGTTAAGGCCATCTCAATTCACTGGCAGCAACGTTGTTTTGAAGATCATCATTAGTCTCAAACCTCTGCCCTGCTAGCCATGTTTTCAGTTCAAGAAAGACGTGAAAGTCTTCACACATTAAAAGGTTCCAAGCTGGGTGGAAGTCTTCACCACCTTTAAACACTCAGCATACAGTCCCAATTTAGCACCAAGAGACTTCCAAAAACTAACCATTTTGTACTTAACTTTTGGAATAAATTCATTTTGTTATTTACACTTGTTTTCTTTTTATGGACTATCAGAGCTTGAAAAAAAAAGAAAAGAAAAACAGCCTATGTATTAAAATATAATTTGTTTTTAAAACTACTAACACTTAAGTGTTAACAATAACACCATCAGAAACTTACATAAACAAAGGTGATTTAGTTTGATGTTCAAGTTAGAAGTGGATGCATCATTCCATATGTAATAGTTCTAACTCCAATCGGTTATAATCCATTTAAATTTTATAATTTTTTTAAATAAAATTATTTGTTTGTTTTTATCCTGATTTTAACAATTGTTTAGAGAACATACACAAAATATTGATGGTATATGTGCCTTTATTTCTACGATAAAAATCATTGTTTTATTAAGTGATGAAAACAAAAATAATCATTTGCAACAATATGATGATAATACAATGCCTAATAAATAATAAAAATTTAAGAATTTAATTATTAATGAGATTAATACTAGTTACTTTTAAAGTAATTTTTAAAAATAGCTAAAAATTAGTTTAAAAATATATAATGATTCTTTGAATTTTAAATAGTCAATATTTAACTGTGTGTGTAGTTTTTACAGAAAACTGTTTCTGAATTTTCTGAATTTTTCTTCTAGATTTTAAGATGCAATCATTATCTACATAAATTTATTTATAACTTGCATCTCCAATGTTGTAAGAATCTATACATTAATTACAAGAGGGTTTCAGTTCATCTGACTTGGAGTAAATGGCTAGGAAATACAGTTTGGATATCACATTAAAGTTCTTATCTCTCTTCAGAAGCATCATCTACAGGATTTGAGAAAGGTGCAATGGTTCAGGCATGGCAAATTGCATTGTACCTTTGCCAATGTTATGTCTACAGAACAAATATGTCAGAGTCTCACTCCCATTAACTTTAGTCCAAGCAATTTTTTAGTGTTTTGTAGTTTCATTATTGTGAATACTGCAATATACCAGTCAATAAATGTATGTTTTAGTTACTAAGACTATTGCTTTTATCACACTCTCTCAAATGCCCAAGAAACTCTGGACACATACAGCTAGTATTATTTATTTGATAACTAACTATAAATAATCAAGTTTTCTCATATGTCAATTTGTGTTCAGAACAAATTTCATCACATTTCTACTGCAGCAGTGCAACATAAAGTATTTATTTTATTACAAAGGAAAATATTAATTTCATTTGTGATGTCATATAATAAAAATATTCTAATTTTGGGCTCATGTAAGCTTTAATATAAGGTTCACATATATATGGCAATTATGCTATAATATCTCTCTTCATTCAAATTGACAAAGATTAACATTATATTACACTTACATAGAGTAATGAGAGTCATGAAAAACACTTGTACGCCACTTCCGAGAAACAAAGCCAAAAGCATTCCTTTTCTGGGTGGGCGAAACACATCACCATGGACGAGTTTCCAGCCAAATTCTTCTTGAGCATCGTCCTAGTTAAAGANCCAAGACAGGCAAAAAATAGAGTAATGAGAGTCATGAAAAACACTTGTACGCCACTTCCGAGAAACAAAGCCAAAAGCATTCCTTTTCTGGGTGGGCGAAACACATCACCATGGACGAGTTTCCAGCCAAATTCTTCTTGAGCATCGTCACCAGAGTCAATCTGATTGTATCTGGCAATGTCTTTGTGCAGTGTTCGTAACAGAATCATGGCTACCATTCCGGTGAGGAAAAGTACAATTACTAGAGAGTTCAAAATACTAGAGACATACAAAAAATTATATTAGTAAGTAGTCAGATTTATAATAAATTTGTGCATTTACTAAAGCTTCAACAAATATGTAGCAGTTGTTTTAGAAAACTACAATTAATAAATAAAAATTTATAAGGCTTATGCATTAACAGAATAATACAGTCAAACCTATCTGTAATGAATCCTGTATGTGGTGAAAATATTAATAGAAGACCTCTTTGGTCCTTGAATTTTCTGCAAAAAGCAATGTAAATTAACCTGTATATAGCAGAACCTGTCTAATGCAAAAACACAAAGGAAAATCAGGCCACATAATGGAAAATCCTGAATCCTGTTCCATGCTCAATGGAAAGTTTTTGTGTAATTTAAACAGCTGTCTTTACTTTGCAATTGTTATAATTAAATCACAAATCTAAGTTTAGCACATTACTGCTAATGTGAAATGTATTCTTTGTTTAGAAGCCTATTTTAAACTTTTTACATCACATTTTCATTAAATAAAATCAAGTCAAAATGTTTGCAAATAAAATGCATGTCAGGCATATTATGCTTTTTAAGTTCTGTAAAGAATATATTGCTACAAAAACAGCAAAAAATACTCAGTGTGTATGAGAAAAATGCTCCTAAACTTTGAATGTGTCAAACATAGTTTTGAAAGTTTCAATCAGGAAATTTTGAACTAAACAATATAAAATGTACAGGCCATCCAAAAGCTGTTAATTAAGAGAAACTGCAAGAAGAAATTGTTAAAAATCAATGAATAATAACTTGTAAACTTGCAACAAATTTTTCTGTGTCACTGACACACATTGTTGAAACATTTCATCCATTTAAAATGATCATAAAACATGATAATGGTTTGTGTTCCACAATCAAATTTTTTGATTGTGTTCCACATGCATTAAGTGGAAAAAAAACCCAAGCTGGATCTTGTATAATTTTGTTTGAGTAAGGTAAGGAGGCAGCTCTAAGGTTTCATTTTATTTTTAAATGAGTCACTCATTTTTATCATAGAAAACTTTTTCATGTACAAAAACACTAAAGTTAAAATAAAAGTACTTGTTATTAATCAAAAATTTGTTCTAGTGGGTGATGATTGTTCACAGTTGAGTATCAACATACCACTGTATTTGATTAATGTAGTTTTGATATACACAGTAGCATTGAGGGATTAATTAATTGCATTAATCAAAGGATACCTGTATATAGTGGAAACCAGTCTTCTATGGAAGACTTGCTCAGTTCCTTGGAATTCTGTTATAGACATGTCTGACTATATTGTTTTTCTGTCAATGCAAATTTTTACTTAAATGCCAAAAACTTCTAGAAATTGCATCAATATTGCTACTATTAATTAAATTTTACTTCTTCCAAAATAATTTAATGGTAAAACAAACTTTGTATAAACTGTACATTGTTAAAATGAAATAATTCAATATTTATATTACTTTAATACAGAATTAATAAACAAATACAGACATAGTGTTTTTGCATACTTAAAAATACAAAATAAAATGAAATATTTTAAATTTATGAACATTAAGCGCAATTTTGATTTTAAAAAATAATTTTATTTTCTGTAAAAAAAATCTGTTTTTTACAGAAAAACCTTATAAAAAACCTTAGTTTTTTACAGAAAAATATTATAAACAGAAAAATCTGTTTATAATATTCTAAGTTATGTTAATTATTTTTACAATAATTTTTACTACACTCTTTTGAGATATGCAAGTGTATACATATACAAGGAGTGTTCAAAAAGTTCCAGGAAAGAGTAAATAAAAAGACAGAAAATTGAATTTAGTGCTTCATTTTTCAACCTATGTTCCATTTAAGTTAAAACATTTTTCCATACAATGTCACTACCTTTCTAAGTCCATCAACAGAAACTGATACTTTCATTCTAGCTACTGTATTACAAAAATGTTTTGCTTGATGTATTGACTGCCAGCAAATGCCTTTAATGTCTTTTTTTTCAATTTTGGAATTTAAAAAAACTGATGTGGCTAGATGTTAATACACAATAAAACAAGTCTCCATATATTACACTCATATCAGTTAATTATAAATATAGCATTCTGTTTACAAATAACCACTTTCCAGAAAAGTTTTGAATATCCCATGTATAGTAAAACATAGTAGTTTATGAGTCACAAAATTAAGTTTTACAACTTCATTTTATGACTGGCATAAATTAAATATTTCATTATGTTTGTATAAAATGCCATATTTACATTGAGATGATCAATGAAAATATGAGAAATCTAACTTGGGTCTATGAAAATACAACCTTAGGAACCAAGTTATAAAAATAGAGGTTTATTACACACACAGACAGTGTGTGTGTGTGTTTGTGAGTGAGTGAGTGTATGAGTGTTCTTATCCCCAAGTCTGATTAGCTAGCCCATTAAATGAAAGAAAATAAATAATTTTTACAATTATTATTTATTTAATATAACACTCAATTGCATAACAAACTAGTATGCAACTGAATGTTATAAAAGTATAAGTACAGTTTTATGCCATTAACTGATGTTCCTAAGGAAGTTTGTTAGTAGCCAACTAATACTCTAGATCAACCAACTAAAATTTTTTCATCCTACTAATTGAAAATGTTTGTAAATCAAACACTCAACTGCTGGAAAAGTAATTAGGTTGACTGTTTTGATCTTATTTATTTATTCTTCTTAATTTATGAAACAGATAAACTAATAATAATAAAATAGAATATCTTCAAATATTTTTTTTAATGTAAAATATTATACAAATATCAATCATTAAATATTTACCTGAACCACTGAATATTTGTATGAGGCATAGATTCCAGAATGTAATCCCATCGAGAAGACCATTTAACAGAATTATCTTTCTAAAAATTATAAATAAAAATTTGACATTAACTTTCAAATGATAAGCTCAAATTCAAATTCTGTAGTAAATAAAAATTAATATAGATGGCTACAAACCTTGAAGGTCACCGAATATGTATAATGAATTTTAATTTCGGCATTTTTATCTATTTTTCCTGGAATGGCCATTGGAGGTGCGTCTTCGCTACAACCATTACTAGGATCCTTAATGCTGAAGTGGAAANGACCTTTCACTTCTAAAAATTTGCATAATTGTGTCAAACTACTATAAAGTAGTGCAACGTTTGATTGTTAATAACTCTGATTAACACTTTTAGTAAATGCTACAAATTTAAAATAGAGTTTGCATATTTTAATTGTAGTTATTATCTAAATTTTATCAAAATTTATCAGAAGACACTCTGACAGTTTCCTTGTATTTTCAACGACATAATGTTGAAGGTCAAATATAAGTCAGACTTTGCATTCAACAATTCAAAAGGTAAATCAAAAGTTCTGTCATTTGCTATTCAAAGATGACTGTCATCATTTTACTTTCTTGTAACAAAGCTTCTTTATTAATTAATTACAGCAACGCCACCTAGATAATCAGGCCTGTGCTCTCGAAAGTAGAGCTTACAAGAGTAGTCATAACAACTCGATACCGGCAGGGAAGCACGGGGGTTCAACTTACTTGTTAGATTATTTCCTCCTGTTTATTATTTAGAGTTATCGTAACGTTGTGTAATANTTTGCTATAGATGATATTAAACACTATAGTTTAAAATGAAAGTAAAATCTTGCCCATGTTTCAATAAAATAGGAATTTAAGTATATATTCATTAGTCATCTCAGAGGTAGCTTATACCAAACTTTCAGTAAACATGCATTGTCAATGAAAGTGTTGTTTGTGACAAAAATGCCACAAGGTTCAGCATCACATTTCCTGTTGATTGTCAAATGACATCACAATATAGTCATTTTGCTTAACAATACTGCTCAGTATTACCAACGCCACCTAGATAATCAGGCCTGTGCTCTCGAAAGTAGAGCTTACAAGAGTAGTCATAACAACTCGATACCGGCAGGGAAGCACGGGGGTTCAACTTACTTGTTAGATTATTTCCTCCTGTTTATTATTTAGAGTTATCGTAACGTTGTGTAATAACAAAAAGTAATAATCACAAATTCATATTCTGTAGTAAATAAAAATTAATATAGATGGCTACAAACCTTGAAGGTCACCGAATATGTATAATGAATTTTAATTTCGGCATTTTTATCTATTTTTCCTGGAATGGCCATTGGAGGTGCGTCTTCGCTACAACCATTACTAGGATCCTTAATGCTGAAGTGGAAAAAAGTAATCTTTCAAACTTTTACAACAAACAAAAACTTATTTTTAAATACTAACCTTCTCGGATTTATTCTGACTCCAATAATTCTGCCGCCTTTTTCACCAAAACTTCCACCCCACGATTCCTCTTCTCCGCTATGAAAAGTTATGTCGATGTTCACATGATTGAATATATAATATGTATCTTTATCGACGTATGAAGACTGAAACATATTTAGTATTTATCAGATTAAGAAATAGATATATACTATTTTCCATTAATGGCAAATTAGGTTAAACCTACATATAAAAGACACGCATCTTTAGGCGTTCCTACTGAATTGACGTAGCAACCCATGGGAAAACCCGCAGAACAAAACTTTTGTCCTCCTTCTACCAGATAGCACCAAGTTATGGGCATATTATCCATTATCCAGTGGTGATGATAATTTTTTGACATTCCCNGCATTGTTTTGTGTTCTTCTAAAGCCTTATGACTACAGAACACTTGATAACATATAATGCAATTAAATGGGTATAGATCGTGCATTGCACGATGAGCATCCAGGTTTGCTTTCGTTTGAAATTGACTATGACACACAAGACAAATCAATGGTCTGTATTCAGAATGAGTGGAAAGATGCTGAATGAAATGATTTTGTTGTTCGTAACGACGATCGCTGGAATAATCGCTGGAAATTACATTTGAATAACCCGTTGTATTGTTACTCGTTTCCATTCCAGAAAGGAAATTTTGATGGGGTGTTTCACACTGGTGTAGTTTCTGCCTCAAATGTCTTCTGCAATGACAATCTAATACCCATTCTTCAGGAAAACATATATTACATATTTTGCATTTGTAGATTGTTCTTCCAGTGTAGAGATTTTGATGATAAGTTAAAGAGCATTTGAACCTGAAACGTTTATTGCATATTCTGCACTCGTAGGGTTTTTCTCCTGTGTGAATTCTAATATGACGATTGAAATTGCTCTTCGAAGCAAAACATTTATCACATGTTTGGCATTTGTAGGGTTTTTCTCCTTTGTGGATTCTGAGATGAGAATTCAAATTGCTCTTCGAAGCAAAACATTTATCACATGTTTCACATTTGTAGGGTTTCTCTCCTGTGTGGGTTTTGATNCTTATGTAGACTTCAATCAGTAATGAATAATTATAACATTATACTTAATCATAGATTACAATTATAAAATTAAATTACATCAATCAAATTTTTACTTTATTGGCAGGCACTGACTCAACAGGTGAGGCAACCTCCTCAAGTGGTCAAAAACATTCAAAAGAAGAAATGAATAACTAACAGTAATAATACAAAGCCACAAAAAACCAAATAATCAGCAAAAAATTGGGAAGTGCTAATGTTTTCGCCCATGTTGAAAGGGCATCCTTGGGCTTACTAATCTCACAGCTGTCGAAACAATGGGTGATTGCTGTATATGTGTAAAAAGAGGGGTGACCTAAGAAGGAGAGAGGAGAGTAAGTTTACAGTTCAAAGAAAGAACTTCCACACTGTGGGGAAAAAGTCTACATCACAAAAGTTAATAGTGGTATTTTTGCAAGCAGCCATATAAATTTCAACTTGCTCTAGATGTTTGAGAAAGGGTTGCTGGAAAAAGCTACATATGAGGCATACACGGGCAAAATCTATACCAATGTCAGGGTATGAGGCAAAGATAGCTCAGTGTTGGCCAATCCTTTCAAGATGGAATTTGGTGTTCTTTGGGGCAGATGTTAAACAGGTGCATTGTAGCACCTATGTATTCAAAACTGCAGTTGGATCTATGATCAGTAACAGAGATAATGTAGATGCCTGGTTGAAGATATATCATGGGACAGTCTTTAGCATTGCAGAGGAGAGTAAAAATTGAGGGAAGGCTAAACAAAAATTATTGTTCATGGATATTTCTTTCTACAGGATGGCTAGTCTTCTGTTATATGTGATGGTCTTGTAAACTGTGTCCTGGGTGTGAAAGTTTGGCCTGACAGAAGTGGTGGAGTAAAGACAACATATAAGGCCTTTAATGGTGTGTGGAGAGTAGCCATGCAGAGTTGCATGTCAGGTGATGCATAATTGCTCAACATGCAACTCTGGCAATAAATAATTTGAAGTAGTAAAAAAAATTTAAACTAGTGAAATAAATGGAGATATTTAAATTTTCAAGAGTGACCCTACAACTACACCTTTACTGTTCTCGTTGTGTTTGTACACAGTCATTCACTTTGAGAAAAACATATAAATTACATCATCACACATGCATCACCAATTGGCAATGAGGATCATTTCTTCCCATTTTGATCATGTGATATTAGCACCACATGGAGTCACAACAAGTAACCTTAAGTGGAGTTTCATCTATTATTTTTATAAATATAATTTCCTTAACATGGAGAATAAAAATCAAAGTTGCAAAACTTCTACAGCACAATACCAAATAATGGTATACTTCACGAGCACATGCAAGAAACTTTTTACAGATAAATTATTCACATGGAGAATAAAAATCAAAGTTGTAACTCTTCTACAGTACAATACCAAATAATGGTAGACTTCATAAATGCACACAAGAAATTTTTACAGATAAGCTGTTCATATATATGTATATCTTAATTATAGAGACATTATATTTGCTATAAATGATATTAAGCAATACAGTGGTGAAAGTTGGTCNAAATTGCTCTTCGAAGCAAAACATTTATCACATGTTTGGCATTTGTAGGGTTTTTCTCCTTTGTGGATTCTGAGATGAGAATTCAAATTGCTCTTCGAAGCAAAACATTTATCACATGTTTCACATTTGTAGGGTTTCTCTCCTGTGTGGGTTTTGATATGATATGATAAACCCTGTTTTCTAGTAAACGATTTATCACAAATTTCACATTTGTAGGTCATTGTACTATCTCTGTCTACCAATACCTACAAAGGAAACAGTGCATTTTAGTGCTATTCATTTATATTGCGATTTTTCCTTAAATTACAGTTAATAACTACACATACTGATAGTAATTTACATGTTTCAACGTACAATTTATCATGTTGACAATTCCCTACATTAAGAGTTATTTTTCAAAATAAACAGATAATAATTCCCATATTCAATACTGTAATTTTATATTGTAAAATGTGGATTTTTGTGTATAAAAGTGAATTTGAAAGTAGATGCAACTTACGTTATGGTATAGTGACAGACTGCTGCCATTTTGATTTTTTTTCTGAAATTTGTGGAACACGTATCTTCATTTTAAATGTAAATCGTTTCACATTTTTGCTCACAGAGCCATGTAATGTGTAGCGAACAATTTTGATAACTAAATTTTTTGTGAAGTCCTTTTTCGCATCCTTTGAATAGCATGTACACAAATTTTGACTTATTTGTTGGAGCTACAACGTACACAGAATACCACATTTTTAATGATGATTGAAGGATGTGATTGTACCTTTCCCCGGATTCATATACTTTCAAAGGTGACACATTCAGATGAGCCTAACGACCAAAATTTCTCTATTGAACGTAGAACTTAACATTACCAAAGATGCAAGAAAAAGGGAGGACCCCCCCGAATAAAAGAAAAATCGATGACAACAAAGACAGTTTGCAGTCTCGAGTTAGTTGGTCAGTTAAGGTTCGCTATCTCGTTAGTCACCAATTTCGACCCTCTTGGATAGTTCTGCAGTTCCACTATTTGGGACATCGGACAAATTATTCCCGGATTTACATCTACTTAGCTGCAAAAGCTATCCCCCATCTAGAGACACATTACAAACGCTTTGCAAATCTATAAAATCTTTGGAACATCTCCAACGCCATCCATTACCCCTCTTGAAGTCCCTAGGATAAAGTTCAACTCTGAAAATTCTAAGGTATTTATCAACTTCGCATCTGATTGTAAACTGTCTCTCGGTTAGGGATCCGATACGAATTAACTGAGAACTATACGGATATGCTATTTAAATTAATTTATTACGTCTAGCTATCCTATCGTGTTTTGTCTTGTGTTATTATAAGCCTATATTTTTGGATGTATTTCCTCCAACTCCCCCAGAATAATTTCCAAGATGCAGAGCCAAGATGATCGGAAAGAAAATAAGCATAATCGTTTTCCAAGTGCTCCGGAAGCTAAATGTTCAAAGATAGAGCATTACTTTAAGGGGCAATCTACTTCGAACATTGATAAAGAAGGAATGTTATCCTTACGACAGTGTTTAGAATCACAGTTAGTGCTGCAGTTGAAGTGTATCGAAGATAACTTGGCTAATTTGGAATTGACTAAACAATTAACTTTGTCCTTAGTAAAAAAACTGAACAACGCCCTTTCTAAATTGTTTTTGCGTTTAATAAGTTAAAACAACACAATTAATTTCATTTGGATGATGTTGGCGACACTCCTTCGCATACAATATACAGGTCAATGCTTCCAAAAGGAGCTATTTAATGTCGTTTAATGAACCAGGAATGTATAGTAAACTTATTGTGTAAGGAATTGGACGCAATTAATTTATGAGGGCAAAATATTGTTGGTATTTCCCAGGGGTAATTCCTGACTAAAATTTTTTGGCATGCTAAAACTTATAAGAATAATAGGCCCATCTCCAGCACTAAAAAATAGGCAGAAACGTCATATGATGTGAATGAAAAAGTATGGACTATTATAAAGCCCCTATACCTGCACATGAAATATATTAGAATGAAAAAGTATTAAAAATTTATGATAATAATTCAATTTTTGTAGATCCTTGACACAAAGGACCCAGGGCTTAAGCCCTATTAATCCCGACGTAGATCCGCCCCTATACACAATACACGTATGTTTACTGGGTACCACAAACATGGCACCGACTTAAACGGCTAACTGCTAGCTGCCAATATAAAAGCTAACAAATGGTAAAAGTTTTTACTCGTTAGAATAACTTATTATTGGCATATTTCTTCTTAAATAAAAAGTATATTGAGAGTCGAAACTTTTTCTTAAGCATGCGACAATATTAAGCAAGCGCTGAGTATATCTCAACTTCATGTTTTAGCTTACGCTAGTTTAGAATATCATTTAGACACCATACATTTTTTGGAATTCTTATGGCTTTGGTACTAAAAGTTTACTGTTCTCTCAAAATTTAGCACCTGAGGTCAAGTATTTCGTGTTGAATCTCTCCCATTTTCTCATCATTTTCCAGTGAGATATATTTATCTACTGGTAATAGACCCTCTTGGATAGAGAAGTTTCGTTTTGCTAGGACCCGTTTTGTTTGTAGTAATTTCAAAGTTGAAATGTTCTAGGATGCTTTCAAAATAAAAACTTTGAACTCGAACTTCTCAATGATTTTTACAACTTAATTATATCCTGTCTCCCCCTCTGGAGCCTTTCTGTTTTGAGATCATCATCGACTCGATAAAGTTGATGTTCTTCTGTCGCCTTTCT